AGAGTCATGCCTAAACTGTTATACCTTGACATATTACTAGAGTTCGTAGTTTAAGTGACAAAATTGAGAAATCAAATTAATTTGTTAAACAGGTTTTCTGAGAGATTTGAAGTTGTCTTTACTTGACTTAAATGTGATAGATCAAACGCTATGGTTCATAGGGTCTAACCTATGATTATTAAAACAGGTCAACCTAACCCCTATGTTAATGCTTAAAATTTTCCAAATTGGCTTGGCCCACGATAGGTTGGTGGGCTAAACGAGTCAGCCCACCAACCCACCTATTTTCTTTTATATAAAAAAGCTCTAATTTAAAATAAAATTCAATCTAAAATATCCTTCAATCTAAAATAAAAATTATCAAATTAAGCGTCATGCATACAACATTAAACTTAATAGGAACATAAAACTTTGGAGTAGTATAAAACTATTTGTAACTTCTTTCTTATTTCTCAACATTTTTGTATTTGGGTTTGGCACCCCTAGTGCCTCCTTAATGTATTTCTTTTAGCCGATAAAAAAAACATCATGCATACAATATTAAACTTAATTAAAAAAGTATACAACTTTAAATAATCAAAAACAAAATTGTCATTGGAGTGGTTGTCCATCAATATTGAACTTCATTGGGGGCTTAGAGAGATAAATCTTTAATAATTTCATGTTATTTAATATCAAATTTATTTTCATCTATAAAGTGGGCCATTGGTGGGTTAAACTAATAAGAGATGTTAGTGGGTTAGATGGACAACTCATCCCACTACGATTCTAACCCAAGTGAGCTGGGTTGAATTTTTTTAGCAAATTATGAAGTTCTTGGTTTTTTATTTGCCAAACCCAACCCATTTTCAAGGTGGGCAAGGTTGGCCTACTATCTAGAGCTCACTTTGACAACTCTAGTCACTTTAATTACTCACTTTTATTGTAAAAAATCTTCATAGTTGATATGCATGATTACACATTAGTTGTTTATTGTTGTTTATGTTGTTATTATGATGTGTTGTGGTGTAAGTTGTATGCGTTGTAGTTGGTGATGAGCTAAAATTGTGTTGTGTAAAAGACTATTGTTGTTTAATTGTTACTTCATGTTGTGATATGCTTTGTTTCCTTTTCATAAGCTTATCCTTATTTATTTTTCTTGTGGTTGAAACTATAATGGTCATACTTGATATAAGAGTAGAATAGGATTAACATGTGGGCTTATGTAATGGTGGAGGGTCATGCTTGATCGATGATTATGTTTATTTTTTCACATAGTGGTGTAGTTGATATATATATATATATATATATATATAATAAATACATACACTAAGTTAATTTCTAAAATGTGTAATGCACTGTTTTAATTTATTTATCTGCATATTCTGACAAAAAAATTTCATAAGGCAATGAAATAATATTTAAAATGGGAGATGCAAAAATAAGAAACTCTCTCTCTCTCTCTCTCTCTCTCTATATATATATATATATATATATATATATATATGAATGATCAGGTATTTGTTGCATAAAACTAATTCAATTATTTATTTGTAATATTTTTGTTGCATAATAGCTGAACTATAATAAATATAAAAACATGTAAGATCGTTACACTAACTTGTTTATTTGTTTGTTTATTCATAATTTAACTTGAGTAACATATTAGTTTGTGTTGATATAATTTGTATGTTATAATCTAAATACACAAAAGAATGTACAATATAAAAAATGATATATTTATTTAAATTTATTTATTTTTTAATTTTTTTAATGGTATAAAGTGTAATAGTTTTATTTAGTTTAAATTAATTATTCAAAATTAATTAGAATTGAACATTTTATGAATTTTGTTGAGGAACCTAGACTTGTATTCTTGAAATTCCTTTATTTAAAAATTAAAAATAAATAATAATTTTAGTAATTTAAAGGATTAATTAGGACAAAATGCTCCATTAATCTTGACAAAAGACTTTAACTATACTAATTTTTTTTATATGATATCTCTCATCCAAAATTTGAGTATAATGAGTAGAGTTTAATGATGATGTATTGTTAGTGTAAAAAGTTTTAAACAATTAATTAATTAAAAATTATAATTTATATGATTTTTAAGATAATTATTAAAAAATTAAAAAATTTATTATTTATGGTAGATTGTGATTAAATTGCCATATCACTATTAAATTATGTTGATTATTATTTCTCATATCAAAATTTATTTTTAGGTAATTTCTAAATTTCTTTTTTTAAAAATTACAACAACAAAAATTATTTGAATGATTAAGTTGATTATTTAGGACATGTTGTTCGATTAATATTGTAAAAAAAAAAAAAAAGTTATGTCTGCTGGCTAGTCTTGATATTTTTCTTAATGAAAAATAAAATTTATCATTTTAAAAGGAAATTTAAAGAATTTAATGTGGACTAGACATTTTATTAATTCTATTGGGATTTGAAATACTTTATTTTTTTTAATTTTTAGAGAATATTATAATAAATAATAAAATTTGAATTTAAGATTATATATATATATATATATATATATATATATATTCTTAATAAATTTAATTTATTCAATAATTAATCATTTTTATTAAGTTTTAAGAATCCAGTTACAAAATTAATTTTTTTTAATAAATAATTCAAATCTACAAATTTTTTGAAAAATTAAAAATTATTTGATATTTTATTTCAGTAATTTAAGTTGACAGATAATCATAAAAGAAAACATTTTAGCTATTGATATTTTTATTAAAGAAATTATTTGAATTTAATTTATAAATAAAAATGATATATTAAAAGTTTGAGAAATTAAAAAAAACTTCAAAAACTCTCTCATTAAAAAATAGTTAATAATATTATTGTTAAAGAATACTCATTAAAAAAAAATATTATAATTTATATCTATTATAAAAAGGATACACGACCAACAATTAATTTTTATTTCTACTTTAATAGATCATTATATTCCTTATTTATTAAAAAAAAATTAACTAACTACTCATATTTTTTAAGTAACTAATTATCCACAACACAACCATTCATTCAATTTTTCTATTTTTTTTATTTATAATTTTTAAAATTTAAGAGAAATAAAATGGTTCTTTTCTTTATTAATTCATATAAAGAGAATATTTTTTTAAAAATAAATTATTAATAATTTAAAATAATATTATATTACAAGATAAATTATTTATCATTAATTTAAAATATATTTTATATATTAAAATATATCTATTTATTAAAATTTTAATTATTATATCCTAATTAATACATTTAAAAATGTTTTTATTATAACTTAATATTTTAACTTGTACATGCATGTGCAATGAGCTAGATATATTTTATTTTATGTAATTAAAATTTATAATAAATAAACATATTTAAATATATAAATTATATTATAATTAAATTATAAAAATAATATTTTTATCATATAAATTATATTTAAAATTTATAATATATATAACTATATAAGATTATTTTAATCATTAATATTTTTAAAAAATATTTAAATTTAACTTATAAATAACAAAATGATAGATTAAAAAAATAAGAAATTAAGAAAAAATATTTAAAATGTTAATATTAAAGAAAAACAACTAAAACTACTTTTGTTGAAAAATAATACTTAAGAACGTTCTTATCCAAATTTTAATTTATATTTTTACTATTATATAAAGTGAATATTTTTTTATAACTATTTCTCCCCTATTTTTATATATACTATTTATATTTATACAACCATCTCGTATATTCTACCATTCTTTAAAATCTTATTTTTTTATGTTTGTATTTTTTTTTTAATTTTATTATGAAAATACTCACTGTCATTTTTTTTATGAGTAATATTATATTACAACAAAAATTGTACAATATTATTATTATATTTCTTTTTTCTATCAATAATAAGTATCTCTTTTCATAATAAAATAAAGTGAGAGAGACAAGACAACACAAAAATGATATATAAATTATTGTAAAATCTTATTGCAAGTCAAACATTATTCTTAAATTACTCATAAGAATAATTATTTTTTCTTTTTTTTTTCACTACTAATAATAGAAGATTTAAATTATATAAAATTAATGTAGAAAAAAAATATTTCATACCAGCATGTATTTTAAAACAAATAAATACGAAATAAAAATAAAAATTAAGATTAAATAATAACTAATTAATCGAATTATTTGAACACTTTTTTAGTAATAATTATAAAAGATAAAAAAGTTATTAGATAAAATAATCTAAGATCAAAAGAGAATATCTTATTTATTATCCTTATAAATAAATATTTGTCATGTGTATGTATTATATAAATCAAAATACTAATATGAAAAGAAAAAATTAACCAAATTTTGTTTTTTTATTAAACTTAAAATCAAAGTAATATTTATTTATTTTACTTCAAGTGTAAATATTAGATAAAAATATTATTAAGTAAATTTTGTAACATTTACAATACATTCATTAAAATTGTTTTAAAAATATTAATTATCACCCGAATAATGATAAGTTAAATATCTCAAATAAAAACATACAAGATAATTTTTGATACATGTATCAAATAAAATATCAATTTTTTTTTTAAATTTTAAATATAGATTATGAAAACAATAAAAGAAACAATTGAAAAATCATTACATACACTAATCAAAATGTATATAATATTCTATGCAATCAGAAAATTGTGTTAATGTATTTATACATAAAAAAGAAAATCAATTATAAAGGATGGTGGTATTAATGAGTCACAAGGTTAGGTATATGAAAGGTTGGGAATGTAACATCATATACCACTGCGAGTTAGAGATTGGTTCACTCTGTGTTCAGTTCAGAACCCACCTACTTGTTTGTTACGGTACCTCGCTTTCCACTCCGTTTAAGGTTTTCCTATGTTCTTCTCTTTTTAATTTTTTTATGTCTTTTTCATCATAAGTATCAATTAGTTTAGGTATAATCACTTTGATTCCACATTTTCACACTCTTCTTCTACATTTTTATTCATGTCTAAGATGTTGGTATTATTTATTTATTTTAATTTTTAATCGATGCAAAAATACCATCTTTGTTTTCTTGAGGGATTTACTTTTGAAAGGGGGAAAACAAAAAATGTTATTGCTTTCATCTTTCAAATGTTCTTTCTAATTGTTTTTTTTATTTATTTGTTTTATCTTTGGAGAACACGGGGTTGAAAAATAGTTATTATAAGAAAGACTGCGAATGTAACGGTTAAGGAGTGCATGCTGTAGATCTAATTCTAAGGAAAGATAGGTTTAGGAACCAAGTCATTATTTTGAAGAACGAGTGAAGTGAAAAGGTTTATGGAATAATGAATATTTTATTTAGGCTAATTTAAGTAACGCAGATTATGTGGGTTACTGAAAGTTGGAATGGAAACTTATCATTCATCTAGGTCATCCTAAGGGTTGGGTTGGAGGTAATCTTTTGAAATTTTTTACTTTTGTCTTCAATTGCTTTTTGTGTTGCTATTTTATTAATTTTTTCCTTTGTTTTTATCATGATTGACTCGTTTGAAATATTAATTTGTCATGTTATGGTTTCGATTTTGGTTTTGAAGGTATAATGAGCAGAATGAGTATGAATATGATTGGTATTGTTGAATATTTATAGTTATGTATTTCATTTAATCTTGCTTTGGCGTGTCTCTGCAGAACTATATTTGTGATTTTGGTTGTTGATTTAAGAAAAAATCTTCACCTTTTAAAAAGAATAATTGCCTGATCGTTACATATTGATGTATTTACTCAAATTGTTGTACTGTATCTGTGGTTTGGATTACATTTTGTTTCCAATAACGCACTGAACATGTTTGTTAGAAAATCAGCGTATTTTTCATATAAATATTTTTCACCGTAATCTGTTCCTCTGATATCAATTTTTACCGTAACATGTGGACTGTTTTTTTTTTTAATTTTTCCTGTTTACAGTGATTGAGTATCCTATTTCAAAGGGGGAGGACACTGATCTCGTCAAAGGAAAAAATGGGGAGTAAACAGGTCCCGATTGACCTAGATGATTATGATGTGGGTCAGAATTTGAAAGGTCCTGGTTCTGAAGATTATAGGTTAGAAAGACGATGGAAGAGAAGGGAACTTTCAAATAAACGTTTAAAGCCTTATGATTTTGATAGTGATACAAGGTCAAGTGTGAAGAGTAAACGTTTAAAGCCTTGTAATTTTGATAGTGCTACCAGGTCAAGTGTGAAGAGTTGTGGAAACGTGATATCTTTAACTAAGAAAAATGTTCATATGCCAGAAGATGAAATGGATGAAGATTACAAAGCGTTTTTGGTTAATTATAAACCTGATATTGATGTTGTGAGTGATGATAGTAATATTGATGGTTCTAATAATGACATCAATATTGGCCGCAACAGTGATCATGATGATCATTCTGATAGTGACTATAGAACATTCTTGGATAATTGTAGGGAATATAAAATTAATGTAGAAAA